TTGCATCTAATTTTGTTATTTTCTTCCCTTGAGTGTTGACATATTTTGTAATTTAATTATTCTATGGTAACAAAGTATTGCGGTGGGTGTAATATTTGAGAAATTTCATTTTGGTCATTTCATAGCACTTTTGGCTAAGATTTTCTTTTGCTTTTCATTGTAAGTGAAGGAGTTGAAAATTGTCTCTAGATTCTTGTATCCATTTTCAGTAAAAATGAAGCAGTGTTTTTCCAGCCTGAGCTTAGGGCCCTCAGCCAATGAAAGAGATCATAGGTAGCTCTCAAAAGCAGTTCAGTTGTGATTTTGGGGGAGGTATGGGTTGTATTTTGCTTTTAATCTTACTCCATTTCCCTTATTCTTTCCCAGTGTGTAATGCCAAGAAAGAGGTGGATGTATTGTGTTTGATATAGTAAAATGAACCACAAATGTTGTTTCTTTTATTTTTAAGTTTTGGAGAAGACTTAAATGAGTAAGGAACACAGGATTCAGAATATCCTAGAGGGAAAAACTTGAGCATCTGTATTCTAGAATTTCATCATCAATCTTAAACATTGTTTTGTGTTTCACTCCTTTAATGTTGAAAGTTAAGATGAAGTTTAAAAGATTTGTAAAATTGTTCCTAACTTGCTTTCTTAGAAAACTTGGTACTCAGAGATAGATTCTCTACTTCATTATAAGAAAAACAGTGATTTGCATGGGGAAAAGCTTTAGTAGTCCTATTTATTGAAAAAGTCAGATCTTTTTTTAATTTGCTTTCATAATGTTCACACTTTACCTGGTTTCAGCTCTTAATAAAGTGATTGATATCACTTAATCATAGATATAATGAGGTTATGCTTTTATTAATGCATTATTTTAAGAATAATTGTATAGGGGCACCTGGGTGGCTCAGAGGGTTAAGCCTCTGCCTTCGGCTCAGGTCATGGTCTCAGGGTCCTGGGATCGAGTCCTACATCGGGCTCTCTGCTCAATAGCGATCCTGCTCCACCCCCCCACCCCCCCACCCCCCGTCTGCCTCTCTGCCTACTTGTGATCTCACTCTCTGTGTCAAATAAATGAAATCTTAGGGAAAAAAAAGAATAATTATATAATAGGAGCTTACATTTGTAATACTTTTCTTCTCTGAGTAGACGTTTGGAAGTTTTAAGCAGAGAGGTCTTAATTTTGTAGTTTTTAAGTAAACTACTGAAAACTGAATCATAATGTAAACTTAAGCTACAGTGTGTTTTTACTTTTGTTAATTAGAAAACGATCCCACAAGCTTAGATTATGCATGGTGGTTTAGGTAAATACTTGGTAGCTTTTTTCTCTGTATGCAAACGCAGCCCCTCTCAGAAGTATCTTTCATTACAATGTATTTTCACCCAGGTTAATGGAACAGGTCTATGTTGATGGCGGGGCAGATCCCTTGCTGGAAACTCTTGATTACTGTCAGGGCCCTGTGTGGTATATATAGTCTTAACCATTTTTCCCCCCCTTTAGAAAGCCTTTATACTTTAAGCAGCTGTAGACTACCAGTGTTTGTCTTTGATGTGAGAGCATAAATGCAAAAACTCTAAAATCAAGATATTCTTACTTTCTGAGAAAAATATTATGATAGGATATATGCAGTGATTAAGTTGTAAAACAAAGAATAATTCATATTACATCTTAGAATGATGTGGAACCTAAATGTGCTTTGTTAAACTCTCATTAATCATTTTAATTGAAATTGACATCCTATCGTTTTAACAGTCCTGCTTAAGCTGAATATTACAAAATCATGCTAACTTTTGCAATGATGCGATATACTCTTATTGCTTGTAAATGATTTAGTAGCTGTTAGCCGAGATAGGAAAAAGATTGACAAATATGTTAGGGAGAACTTGTACAATAATGTTGGCTGATTTCAGAAAGAATTGTGAAGGGATAACACTTGGACTGTCACAAAATACCTCACTGCAAAATAAGAACAATGTAAATATCACTCTTGAAATTCTTACTGTAAATTGCAGAGATTGTTGGTTTTTCAGATTTATAAGACTTGAGGATTTATAAAAACAATTTAGCTTCCCCTTTCCCCCTTAGTGTTCAATATCATAGAAACTGACATCTATTATTGTGTGGGTTAGCTTTTTCACTTCAGTTGAGTTTCAGATTTCTCTGTTCTATAACTAGAGTACTATAGACTTAAATTGAGCAAGATAACTTTGTGATAGAGTACTGAATATTTGCTGAGAGTATTAACTGTAAACTAATGGCATTTGCTTATTTATTAGTCTTATTTTTTTTTAACATTAAAGAAGTAATTAATTCAAATACTTAACCAGTATATATTTAACTTGAGTTATGGTGGATATAAGAAGACATTTAACATACTTGGTAAATGACTTCAGAAGTTGTATGCTGAAGTTCTATATGTGTATTCTGGTTTTACATACCCTAAAGCAGGTATTCACTATAGTAAATATGAAAACATGCAGAAGTCTTTTATATAAGAAGTTCAGGGGTTATCATCTAGCTTTTCAGTATCTGGTTTTGTCTTATCTTAGAAGCAAATTGGGTATTTTATTTATAGAATATGACATAAAAATATTATAATCTATGAAGAAATATATTACTTGAAATCAGTTTCTTATACAGTGATTTGTAGGTAGTATCTCCAAACTAATGTGTAGACTGTATTCTAAAATGCCTAGAAATAAAATAATACTTTTTTAAAGAAATAATGCTAAAAATGGCATCTCCCCCAGCAATATTAGCCCATGAAAGTTCATTTTGTCTGTAACATAGTATACAAGACCATAGTTGTCCAAAGAAAATAGCACTATTACTAATAAGTAATTAGGAAAACAGATTAGAGAAAGTATTTAACTTGCATCATGGTATTTAAGAAAAAGAAGAGAGATTTATGTGAAAAGGAGGTTAGCTGGTGTGGAAGTAACATGAGAAGAGATGAGAACAGTGAAAGGCAGGGAGGGGATGCTACTCACTGAAGAATGAACCAAGTAAAGGGCATTAATAAAATACCCAGCACATACTGTTCTGGGGGCCTGGTTCATCTGAAATAAGTGAGTAAAGATGAGCTATTCCTGTACTACTTTTTTTTTTTTTTTTAACATTTTAAAGGGGAAACTACCCGCTAAGTAAGCCTTAAAACAACACCATAGCCTTTATAAAACCGAGGCAGTCCTTTAAATTTATAACCATGGGTGGTAAATAATTTATATTTTTGTTATTACCAATAATAAAAACAGATCTTTAGACTAAAACTTTTTCTACATTGAGTGGGTTTTTTTGTTTGTTTTGTTTTGTTTTTACTTTGAATATATTGTCCCAGGAAAAAAGTGTTGTTTTTTATATCATTTTCAAAAGATCTATTTACCCTTGCAGCATAGAATGAATACTATTTCTGCTTACCTAAACTGCCATGTAAAAACATTTCTGTGGCAAAATTCATTCACTGATTGTTTGAGTACCTACTATGTGTCGGGCATTTTTCTTGGAACTCTAACTACAGCAGTGAACAAGAGAGAAGAATCTTTGATTTAATGGACTTTACATTCCAGTAGAGATTTATTTCAAGTTCCATTTGAAAAATGCCCAAAAGTCATCTATCTTTACTACCTTTAAGTTGTCTTACTTTTGGATAGGTGACCTTAACTAGAGCAGCTGGGCCGCTACATTTCTATCCAGTATGCTAGATAGTATAAAAAAAAAAAAAATAGAATGGGCAATAAGTTTATTAACCCATTTTTAAATAGGGCAAAAAAGAACAGCTTTTTGAGCAGCAAGGGTGAGAGTTCTTATCCTTTCCCAATTTTCCGTGAAGGATTCTTCTGATCATGAGAATGTTTGAACTGTACACATCTTTCATGGCAGCTCTGTTTTTAGGTTTATTGTGTTACTGCTAAACTACCACATGACTTGGGTGCTATGTACAGTTTAGAAGAGGCAGTATTAAGTGAACATTCTGGATCTAGACTGCCTCGATTTAAATCCTTACTTCGTCTAAGTAAGTTGTGTGCTTTTGGACAAGTTACTTTTCTGTGCCACAGTTTTTTAAAATCTGTAAAGTAATGGTAATAGTTGGCTAATGGGAGGATGAAATTAATTAGTAATGCCTAGAACTTGCAAGTACTAAATGACAGCTATTACTCTTTTCCATGCTTGACATGGAGTTGATGTGAAAGTTGCTTTTCTAGATTTTTTTTTTTTTTTTTTTTTTTTTTGCCAGGCACCTCATTATTTTGTTTGGCAGGTTTATGCTTTCAAGAACAATTTGATATAATGGAAATCTGGATTCTAGCTTTGCATCATCCATTGGTTTGATATTCATTTGATCACTTAGTTGGAGGAGTGGGGGGAGTTCAGATAAAATAATCTAATATTTTTACATAAAACCTTTTTTTTTTTTTTCTTTTTTTTAAATAGCTGAGCGTGTTGTTCCTTTGGCTGTTTTTGAGTACTCAGCTGGAACTTATTTTCTCTAGGTGTTTTGTTTAATGGTAATCTGTGAAATGATACCAGCTTACCAGTGACTATTAATAATTCTCATATTTTGAATTATTGGGTGATTTACTGATGATTTCTGTGACGTTTATTTGTGTGTTTAATTCTAAATGTAATTTACTCAAAAACATGCCAAAGAAAAGGTAGTTCCCTAAAATAACTTCTACTTTGGCTTTTCATGTCACTGAGAACCTATTTCATAAATTTATTATAATAACCTCCTGGTAAAACTTGAATCTGATAAAACAGAAATATATTCTGTCCCTAGTTACAGCTTAACATGTATATGTGCACTTTTCATTAGTTTTAAAATGTTATAAACTTCACGAAAATTTGCTTTGTTTTTAGTTCCTATTTCCTGAAAGACTAATCAGATTTTCATTAGTTTTTCACCTCCTTCCAAAGGGCATCTTGTAGATAAGCATGTTGTATAATCAAAATAAATGTTGTAGTCAGTTGTTATTGGAGTTTAAGTCCTGTAAAGATGATTCTATTTAACTCCCATAAAGTTACCTGCGGTTTTTCCTGAACTTTATCTTCTGCAGCAAAGTTCTATTTTCATTAACTACACACTATTTTAAAGTAGAAGATGGTGGTGAGAGATCAGTCTGTGTTACCTTTGGATTTTTTTTCTTTGTGAAAGCAATGGCAGTCTTGATTGTAACAGAAAACTATCTGGAATTTGGACTTGAAACAGGTAATCATTTCATACAAGTTTAAAAATCAGTTTTGCTTTATCAGGTGTTAATATTTTTTACTTCATTTAATTATGTTTTATATTTGATGTTTTTAAAATTAGGTTTGAGATGTACAGTAATCTTCTAAATAATTAACCTTTATTATTCTTAATTTTCTTTTTTTGTTTGTTTTAGCTAAATTTTTTGTTAGCTTTTTCCAGAATGCTGCCCCCTCATTTTTTCCTTAAAGTTAAATTTAAGTTTCTGCAATGCTGAAGTTTACTCACATGGATAAAGATGCAAATTTTGATGCAAATGTTATGCACACTTATGGAATGTACAAATATCAAAGGGATGTTTTCAAAGACTGTTCCTGCTAATAACCAAATTTTATTGCATTATGGCATACTAATTAGCACATGAAAGAGCCTAAGCTAGTCACTTCAAGATTTAAGATGTTCTGTTTCCTAACATTTTATTTCCAAAGAAAGAGTCTGTATTAAGAATAATTTTTTTTTTTCCCTGCAGGGTTTACAAATTTTTCAGATAGTGCGATGCAGTTTCTTGAAAAGCAAGGTTTAGAATCTCAGTAAGTTTTTAAAAATACTAAGTATCACTGAAGTTTAAATTTTTTCACTTTTTTGTAAAACATTTACTGTAAGTGGCTTTTTGTTTTTAATCCTTGAAAAGAGTTCTTTTTTCAGGACTTTCAGAAATATCCTCACTTCTAATGTTTACATATGTATAAAGTTAATATGTTTGATAGAATTCTTATTTGGATTTGCTCTTATTTGATTTAATTTCTATGCCACCAGAGATTAAATAGCTTTATATCTGAGTCATATATCAAATTCTGTGTTGAATATGCAGGTTGGGTTGTTATCAGTGTGGCTAGAGATGTTAGTTCACCAAAATCCATTGTAGGTAATTGAGTCTGAATAGTCTTTTTTTGTAAAAGTTTATTTAGTTTTTGTTACTATGAATTGTGGTTTGTAAAGTAATTAGAAGAAAGGAAATTCCGAGAAAGTTAAAGAACTTACTACTTTTTTTTTTTTTTTTTTTTTTTTTTTTTTTTTTTTTTTTTTTTTTTAATTTTATTTAGGGGTCCTGTTTCAAAACTTACTTTCAAATTTTTCCTGGCTATTTTCTGTTCATTCATTGGGGCTTTTTTGACATTTCCTGGATTACGACTGGCTCAAATGCATCTGGATGCCCTGAATTTGGCAACAGAAAAAATTACACAGTAAGCGGAAAATGTACATAAGCACATGCAGATAAATATATGTTTTCCATCTTAATGAAGGTATATTATTGTAATGAAATCATAAATTATTGTTTGAAAATTAATAAATAACCATTTGATGTCACACTACTTCTATAAGCAGGTTTCTTTTATTCACTTCTAAATTTTAAGCCCTATGACTAAAAGCATATCAATTACTAGATTTCTTTTTTACTTGTTAAAAAAAGGAAATACCAGTATTTGTTAGTCATAAGTCAGTGTTTATGATACCGTAATCTCTACAACTGAACTAAGGATCTATGGTAATTCTCTTAAATCAGAATATTTTCATTCACATATTTAAATTTTATGTAAATCTTAATTTTTACTTAAAAGTGTTTTGAAAGTTAACTCTGTATACATAAATTTGTGTTTTTCCTATATTACTGATTGGCTTATGAGACTTAAAACAATATTTTATTTGGGGATTGCTGATACTATACAGTATTAAATACCATAGATTACTTTTAACTGCCAGATTCTATTTCAGTTCTCAAATACAGAAATCATATTTGAATCTCTACATAAAGTTCAAAGCCCATTTACTCTGTTTTTCGTGGTTGTTACAGATGTTTTTTGTTGATGTTAGACACCTTGGCAGAATGGCAGGTTTATATCTTTCAGTTCATATCCAGACACAAATTTCCATCTTGTCTTTATGTTTTGCAGTAGACTCCCAAGTTGAGAACATTCCATTTTGATATATGTATATACTCTCTGAGTTTCTCTGATCATTTTTCTTAACATTTCTGCTCTTAAAACTGTATTTAATGCTGCTGATTTTGTAGTCTTTTCACATTCTTCTCTCTCACGTATGTCATTTTCCTTTAATTTTGAATCTTTTTTGTTTTTTCCTTAACCTCCATTTTTCTACATATTTTGTCTGTGAGTGTGTGTATGTGTGTGTGCACACACGTGCAGGTGTCTGTGCATACGCACACTTGTCTGTGTGCACACGTGTTTACATGTTCTCACCTCCCAGTACCCACTTCTTCATCCCTCTTTTTTCCCCTCCTTTTACTCAGCGTGCTGTTGGTTGCATCCTGCCTTTCTTCCAACATCCATCCATCTCTCTAATGGCTTCTTTTAAAAACAAAACCAGGTTCTCCCCCTCCTCTCTACACATACACTTCAGTCCACTAACCCCAGTGTTAGGATTTAAATAAGCTGAAAGGGTGGGTGGAGGGGAGCCCTTCACCAGCTACTGAAACCGCTGTGGGCTGCTCCTTGATACTAGAGTGTTCCCTAGCAACACTGCATACCTAATACTGCTGCTTTCTTCCCCGCACCCAGTGGTTTACCCAGGCTGGGGGATGAAAGGATCACTTTATAAAAACATTTAAAGCATTTAGTGGTGGTTTATGATTGGGAGGGGGCACATCTTAGTTTCCTTTTCAGTAAAATGTAGCTTCTTTTTAAGGGCTTTTTTCCCCCCCTTTGGGGTTTGGAGCTTTATTTTCAATTCATTGCAGCCCCCGATTGTGTTATAGCACTCTGCCATGATAACAGGAGTGTGGGCAACCTTGTTCTGGTGTGAGAATAGCATGACTGGCACAAAGAGCAGCGTTCTCCTCAGCCCTGTGTCTAGGCACTAGTACTTTTTAAATGCCAGGGCTTAGAACCGAAGTTCCACCTTTGTCTGCCAGGTGTTCTGACGCAACCCTGTTTTCCTCACGTAGATCATTGCCCTGTTTTCCTCACATAGATCATTGTCATTTTCACTGTAGTGAAGATTTTGAAATGTGTGTGTGTGCATGTGTGTATATTTAAAACCCTCCAGTTTAGCCCTTCACTGTGGTTAATCCTGAAAACAGGACATGGTAATAAAATAGAAGAATTTGTCTTTTTTCTGAAATAAGAATAGTCTTTACAGTCATCTGTCTTTGTATGATACAAACTTGGGATAATAATTTAACAATAAAATTATAACTCAGACCTAAAACCTTTTGGTGTATTAGGTATATTGCCTTTCTGGAGTAATGTAAATTTTCTTGGTATGTGTAGAATAGGGAATTTAACTTCATAATACTTCATGAAGAAATAAAAATATGTGAATCATTTATGATTTTAACAGTGTATTAAAACATTATACATGATCATTGCATATTGAAAGTTTCTTTAATTGTAAGTTGTTGTAGTGGGTTCCATGTGCCATCCTTCTAGTATTAAGGACCTTGCTAATCACTGGCTCTCACTTGTAAATAATAAGGAGGCACTTTGTTTTAGCTTGTGCTGAAAGTGTCAAAAGATGATGCCTCTATACTGAAAATCTATTGGATTCATTGACTGTGTAAAGTTATTTAAATACCTGTGTATTGAATCAGGGATATAGTAGGGGATTGTTAAAGAACACTAGGATAGAACTGAGCAGATTTAGATTTTAGTGCTACATCTGCCTTTAACCTGTAATATTGCCATGAACAAGTCATTTAACTTTCCTGAATCTAAATGTTCTCATTTGAAAAATTCAGATAATGAGGTAGTTTTGCAGGGGCTCAAATCAGTGTTGAGTGATAACAATACATAGAAAGTAATGATGACAGTAGTACCTTAATACAGAATACTGAAAATAAGTTTCTACCTTCATTTTGTAAGTTCCAAGTATCTGTAGTTTATTAGTGTATTTTGTTCCTGGGTTTTTATATTTATTTCTTACATACTTTCAGAACATTACTTCATATCAACTTCTTGGCTCCTTTATTTATGGTTCTGCTCTGGGTAAAACCAATCACCAAAGACTACATTATGAACCCACCATTGGGTAAAGAAAGTGTCCCTTTGTAAGTATGGGTATTTGAGGGCTAATTTTTGATTCCTTATAGAATCAAAACTGTTTTCCAAAATGGTATATACTGTAACTTAAGTTTTTTAATGATAATACTAGAATACTGTATTTTTAAAACACTAATAGAAATGCTAAAAGATGTGTTCTAAAACAAGCTACAAATCATCATTTAACTTTTTTATGATCTTCATTAATGAATGAATGTTAATATACATTAACAGTTATCTTGTACACTTCTAAGTTTTTCTGCCTTCTCACTTAATCCAGTTGTTATCTGACATTTTTATGTCTTGGCCCCATTTTTAAGATAGGTTCTTCAGTTCTTTTTTTTTTTAACTGTGAAAATTAACAGAGGATAAAATAAGTAGTGTAAATGGAAACTCATTTAGCCCCTGTAAGGGATATTAATATTTTCCATATTTGCTTCACCCCTTTTCTGTTTTGTTTTGTTTGTGTTTTTTTAAGATTTTTTAAAAATTTATTTAACAGACAGAGATCACAAGTAGGCAGGGAGAGAGAGAGAGAGAGGAAGGGTGAAGCAGGCTCCCTGCTGAGCAGAGAGCCCGATGCAGGGCTCGATCCCAGGACCCTGAGCCGAAGGCAGAAGCTTTAACCCACTGAGCCACCCAGGCACCCCTGTTTTGTTTTTTTGATGGAGTAATTTTTCAAGTGAAGTAGAGGTCTTAACGTTTTTACCCCTAAGTACATGAGTATGTACCTCTAAGAAATAAGGACATTTTCTGACATAATATTATCATCATACTTATCCAAAAAAATGCCTTAACATTATTATCTAATATAGGTCATAATTCCCCTTTTAACAAAAGAAGATGGTAAGGAAACACAGTTTATTAAAAGATACTAATAACTGTACTTAACATATTAACTCATTAGCCTTGTGGAACTATGTTAGAGTAATAGAAAGATTGAGACAAAGCTGGTTTGAACACCAGTTCTGATCTTCACTAAAACTGTCACTTGAGGATGATTAACTTCACCGAGCCTCTGTTTCCCCATTTGGAAAATGAAGATAATAGTATCTACCTCACAGAGTTATCATTGGAATTAAATGAAGGAATGCGTGTACTGGAACCAGCTGGAAGTAAATGTTTAATCAATGTTTCTTTCACGGCTCTGCCTCATCAGAATTAAAGTAGAAAACCTTGACAAGTCATTGACTCCACAGTATACATTTTATATTATGTATTTCTTTTAGAGCCTGGTACAGATTTGTCTTCCAGTATATAATCAGTGATGACCAGGACTTTTTTTCTTTTATCTTTTTTTTTTTTTTTTAAGAATTCTCTTTGAACTAGGGAAGCATTCATTGAGGTTATAATGTTTTCACACACACACACACACACACACACACACACACACGTAAGTCTTAATGGTAATTTTAACTTGACAAATTTACAACATGTTTATTTAAAAGTATGTTCATACATTTCAGCTGTCCTATATTAAGTGCCTGATGTGTGCTAGAGTTTAGAACAGATATGGAGCATGGTCTAGGTGTTATTTTTCAAATTACTCACAGTGTTACCTTTTATCAAAGGAGAAACCCTGGCCTTTTGAAAACATTAAACCACAAAGGACATCAGAAATTACCTCTTCTTTCTATAGTCCTTTAAGGGGCCCTTGTCAGTCAACTGAAAAAAATATCGTAAGGGTACATCTTCTACCTGGAATCCTCATCTTAGTCTTGAGGAATTGTGCCCAACTGAGCCAGCTTGAGCACATAGCTTAAATGACTTGTTGGGGAGGAATCTGAGACATCCAATTTCTTCATAATATATCAGAATTTCTGGTTTTCCTACGATCCCAATCAGGAAGTCAGCAGAGTGACTGATACCTGTTCAAATATCTGTATAATCAGACAAAACTGTAGGCATGGGTTGTTGACTTGATAGTTCCACAGGCAGTCTCCTGTAGTTTCTTTCTTTTTCTTACTCTCCAGTTTAACAGCACCCAGCTTCTCTCTCCATTTCACAACCAGGTTTTTTGCATGGAGGAAGGTAGATAGTGAAGAGGATCCCAGTTACTTTCTACACTTTTCTTCTAGATATCTATTACTACTGTTCTTAATGATACAATTTTCTGTCTAGGTCTATTATACAAGTTAAATTATTATATAGATAAGTTTGTAATGTAGTAGAATACTTTTGTTTTATATCTCCAACTGTAATTAAGTATAGATATCCTATATTTTATATGGTGAGCACTGACACATTTAACTAGCATGCTAACGTATTTTGGTCTTTGAGAGCACCGTGTCAACTTTTTGATCTATAGAATGACAGAAGCTACATTCGATACTCTGCGACTCTGGTTAATAATCCTGCTGTGTGCTTTGCGGTTGGCCATGATGCGCAGTCACCTGCAAGCTTACTTAAATTTAGCCCAGAAATGTGTGGATCAGATGAAGAAAGAAGCAGGGCGGATAAGTACAGTTGAGCTACAGAAAATGGTAAGTTTCGTACTGTAGTCAAGTGAAGAACAGCAAGCACTGTATTGTAAGAAAACAAAGCATTTAATTTTCCTTAATAGTAATTTTATCCCACAATACTCCTGCCGTTGAAATAAATGGCATAATCTTAAATTGACAGATACTGAAGAGCCCGCAATCCTATTTCGGTGCTCAGTGAAGAAAGAGTTTCAAGTCCTCTTCTTGCCATAGTACTTCAAGTCCTTTAATTTGGGTTGCAATGGTGTGGTATATCTACTATTGCTAAATGGGAACCCCAGTTGATTTGGAAGACATTACAATATATTATTGTCTAGCCTTCAAGACTTATGGGGTAGGAAATACTAGTTTTAGTGACATGTAACATGATTCCAAGTATTTGAACATGAAATGTAAATATTTAACTTAATGGGAATTCCAGAGAAAGAAAGTGCTAGGAGTCCATCCACCATTATAGTTAATTGGATCTGTATAACCGATCATGTCTTTTTTAGAAATCTGGTGTTGGGTTTTCTGTTTTTCATATTCTTTCGTAGTCAGGGTGTTCAAGATTCAGAGACTTACTGTTTTTCCTTATATATTTTTGTTCTCTCTATGATTTTTCCTCAAATTTTAGTTACATATGTTCATGTAGAATGGGGACTTGATGTTTTTATTTATGAGGGTTTTATGACTCATCTGTTACTTTTATTTAGCTTGATTTTCTGATGTCTGCCTAGAGATTCTAACATTTTGTTTTATATTTGAAATGTAAGTAAATATACCATTTAAATTTAAGGGATTATTTTCTCCAATTTATATTAACCACTTAACTATTTTCAAGGAATTTAGTATTTCCACATTTAAAACTTATCTTCAAACTGAGCCTTTCAAAGTCAGAAGTCAGTTTGGGGGCATTTATAATGAAGTGCAGACCTAATAACATTTAGCTTCCTTCCCATGATGGGATTACTTATCTCTTAAGCAGTTTATTTTGACAATTATATGAAAGTTTAATTCACTCCTAACATGTCAGCCAGTGTTAGATACTTAAGAATTTTGTTGGTTGCAGGTGGCTCGAGTCTTTTATTACCTTTGTGTCATTGCCCTGCAGTATGTGGCACCTCTGGTAATGCTGCTTCACACAACTCTGCTTTTGAAAACACTAGGTAGGCTGCCCTGGCAACTGGGAAATGTGTTTGACTTTCTACCTATAATTAATACTGCTTTTCGTTACCTACAAAGAAATATGCTTCTTTAAATTATTTTCTTGGAGAGTTTTAAAAAGAAACATGGGAAACTTTTAAAAGTTGATTCGTCATCTTCGGGTCCATATAGTTTTATAATATTCTTATAAGAATTATTTGCTAAAGATTAATTCCCGTATTTACTCAAAAACTTGAATGAGCACTCTTGTTCTTAGTTATTTTGTATTTTAAGAGGGTGATGAAAGATTTTGTTAGTGCCTGATCATTTCAGTTATTATAAGGTAGTTGTATACTTGCATGAATCCAGGATCCTTTAGTGAGTTCTACTTTAGATATTGATAGGATAAAGATTTCTCAGCAGAAAAGCGAAGTTCTCCTATAAGTCTGTTCACTAAACTATCAAGTTCCTGTGTGGTGTTATTTGAGAACTATTCATTATTTTATTGATTATTTCCCTTTGCTTAGATCAGTCAGCCAGCCAGTGTGGGGGTTTAAGAAGCCCAGAGGAACTAAAAAAGTATTATTTGGGTGGGCTTCATAGATACTATAGAGCTGATAATAGATATAAATGGCCTTTAGGAATCTATGAAACATAAAGAAGTAACTCAGTTATAATTTATGTGACTCATATCCTATCCAACATAGGAAAATATATGATGAAAACTTTCTGGAAGCTATTAATAGTCTCTCACATTGAAATCATAGATAGTTTCTAAGAAAGAAATTTATTCTGATATTCTAGAGGTAGAAAAGATTTCTAAGAAGTTACTGAATTTGTCCCTGTCACTCCAGTAGAGGTAGTTGATTAATGTATCATACAAGGAAAAGAATTGTTTTTATTATTTTACCAGATTTTAGTGCAGATGGTTAAAGGTAAATTAGATTTTTATGTGTACTTTTACCAGCTTGTAGTCTAATCAGGTTAAATGAATTTTTTACCAGATATGTACAAAGGTTATTTTACTTTATTTTCAACATGAAGTAATTTGTTACGCCACTAAACTTCCTGTTCTTAATTTCAAGTATAATTTTAAAACTTCTTCCTTTCTTTCTTTCTTTTTTTTTTTTTTTTTTTTTAATTAGAGGGTTTGGGATTAGTTAGTCTTCAAATTTTATTTGTGTCTTGAATTTTCTAGGTAATCATTCCTGGGGGATATATCCAGAATCTATCTCTGCCTTGCCAGTGGATAATAGTCTACCCTCCAACTCTGTTTACTCTGAATTACCATCTGCTGATGGGAAGATGAAGGTAACTGTTACACAAATAACAGTGGCACTGAGCAGCTTGAAAAATATTTTCACTCCTCTGCTTTTTCGAGGACTTCTGTCTTTTCTGACCTGGTGGATTGCTGCTTGTCTCTTTTCTACAAGCCTTTTTGGGCTTTTCTATCACCAGTATCTGACTGTGGCATGAATCTCAGTTAACAAAAAAGGATATCCAAGTCACACTTTGAATTGAAATGCTTGTGCCCTTGAAGGGCTGTCGGAAACCAGAAGAAAGCAAATACAAAGGAAAAAAACATATCAGAGTATCTTGTTTTAAATGCTTCCTCTGTATTCTCAGGGTGAATCAATGGTATAATATTTAAAATTACAGAGTAGATTATTAACTGTTATACTGTGGCATTGGAATTTTAACTCCTTGTATTAATTGATGTGAGAGGGCTATCTACAGGGGTAATACTTTGTTTACCTTGGTTTACAGAAACCTCCAGCAGTCTTTGAAACTTCTCATATGACTCCAGTTATTGATTGATTGTTCTTAATGGTGTAAAGGTACTGTTAATACTCAATAGTGGCTGCCTATAGAACAGTCTTCAAACTGAGCCATGCTTTGGGAGAGGGAAAGGAGCTAGAGTCACTTCTGTTGGTAACCTTTAAAACAACAATAGCAAAATCCAACAGAAAGGAAGAAATAGCTACTGTATATTACAGTAAAAAAAAGCTGCATAGTAATTTTAAATTTAAAGCAGATGTACATGCTTAATATCTACAAGTACTGCTGCTTGAGAGTAGCAAGAGTATTGTTTTAAAATGTATTCTGTCCAACTTGAGGGATCTTTTAAAATGATTGGCCATATGAACATTTGCAATCTAATAGGCTTGGAACTCCCATATTTTATTTTATTCTGTGATCCTAAATACAGTTCTTTTAATAATCTAAAGATATTTATCAATATTGATCAGACTTTTAAAAAATTACTTTAATCCTGCTGACTACCTGTATGTATTGTATTGTATATATATTATATATTAAATATATAATATATTGAGATTATAAAAGGTGAAAATATTGGATCCTTATAATATTTTAAGTTGCTGAATGTATATTAAATGTGATTGAATGAGCTGTGTTTGTATCTAGAAATTTTCTTTCTTTTTGGAATGAGATTAAAATACATTTTGAAAGTTCATCAGATCAAGCAATTTATTTGCGTTGCCCATGTGTGAGACTGCTTAAAATTTTATAAATACTTGGATGAATTCTCTCAAATTAAAATTCTTTTTCTGTCATTTTCAAACATCAGAATCTTTCCCACTAACCAAATCTACAGGAATAATTTAAACCCATGTTAAATAGGATTTGTTTTAAGTTTATGTGTTTAGAATAATTGAGATAATTTGAAGGAAAAATTCATAGGAATGAAAAATATGTAAAAAATTTTTTGATGCGTTGTTTATCTAAAACCTAAAATAGTTTCATTTATAAAGGGAATGAATATAAGAGATAAATAAGGTTTGTTTTCTTTTTTGAACACGTAGTAGAATTTATAGATAAACTTTATTCCCAAGAATATTCTTGAGAGGCTATATATCAGTGCTATTGTCACTATTGAAAGCAATGTTGGAGGTCTTTTGAAATTACTTTCAAGGCTTGTGGTTCACATTCATTTGAATAATTGCAATACAGACAAGTTCCTGTCTTTTGGTATAGATTAGATATTTTGGAATTAGCTGATATTTTTAAATATGAGTGAATAATAAGTGCTTAAGTTGGATAAAACTCTGGTTGATCAGAATTGTTAATATAGCCTAATGGTAGTTCATGTGAATTTCCAAAAGAAACATTCCAAATACATCTTGAGATAACACCATCCACTAAAATAACTATCTTTTAACAAGATTATAGCAAAGTATAACATTTATTTTGTATGTGAAAGTTCTCACATGTTGGACTTGAAAAGAACCTTACCTGATACTTAAAACCTTTTTATTAAAGAGCTACATTTTAAAAACTATAATTTAAGTTATTTTGAGTTTCAAAGATTGTACCGAGAAGTAATATGGATGGGTGGGGGGGTTAGAAGACTTAGAATTTATTATTGGATGAAATCACATGCATTTCTAAAAATACTATTGATTAACTCTTTTTAGACTTGAAATCTCCCTGAGTATACTGTGAACGAGAGCGAACTGCATATTAAAGTAATGGGTTTGATTTAGGTTTTTTTAGTCTTTCCAAACAAATTGAAGAGAATGATGGTTATAACTACTGCTTTGTTTAAGCATCTTGTCTCCACACAAATTCTATTCCTGAGTGTAAAGGGTTTATACTTTATGTAAGCCAAATATTTTTTTAATTGAGATAAAATTGACATATAACATTATATTTGTTTTAGGTCCACAACAGAATTTATATATATAAATTCCAAAATGATTCCAAATTATATTTTAATATTCTTAATTAGGCCAGTAGAATTCTTTTTATGTTGGGCTCTAGTCAACATAAATGCTTCATAGGTCTGTTATTTTATATTTCTACTAAATTAATAGGAATCCTTAGTAATCTTGTTCATATGATTTGTGGGATTGCATTTGATAATTTGTTGATTCCTGCCCCCCACCCTCTGCCCATTGCACTATATAAATCAGAGCTGTATTCTCCTTCTACCCCCATTGATATGTCTGAAATGAAAAGCATATAATTTTATCTTAATATCCGTATGCATTTTGATTATCTTTGGCATTTTCCCCAGAATTCCAATTGCTATGCATAAATGACCAACGCATCCAAGCAGAATGGGCTCATTGTCTTATTGTTTCTGATATAAATATCATTGGTAAAATAGTGACATTTCTTCTTGAGTTATGATTCAGAACAGATATTCATCCATTAATGGAATTGATAGGTCCAGGAAGCACTAAGTAGAATTCATTATGAAATCTATAATTGGAACTTCACTGGATAGATTTTATTCTTTCAAATGAAAGATTAAATTCTCAGTACTGAAAAGCATAGGGTCTCAACATTCTCTGAATTCAAACACACTTTCTGAGCCATCTCATAATTGAAAATGGTCTATCATGGTATATGGCTCTATTCAGCAAAATAAAACTAAGTGATTTTTGAATGTGGATCATCCTGCATCTTCACAAACCTTTAGGTGGCTTAAAAAATCAGATTTGAACACATTCATGATCCTAGACCATGAACTGAGTATCTCAGTTATTTCTACAATATCATCTTTTAACTCTTACTTGTCCCATTATGTCTGTATCCTGTGTTCATAGCTGAGCTGCTTATATGCCATGAAAACTCTGACATGGATACAGCATGATCACAAAGCTAATATCAACCTTGCTCTCCTTTAAAATGGTAAACATTTTACTTATTGTTTTTTCTTCCTAAGGAAAAAGAAAAAACAGATAAAGCCTCTTCATAAGTTTGTCTTCTGTTAAAATTGAACTTTTTTTCTTAAGCTACAAACTATTATGTTGGATGGGCCTATCTTCAATGATTCAGAAAATGTGTATTTCTCTATTTCATTGTTGTTCTTTACTTTCTTTCCCCCTTACAACTAGCTATATGTGGTTACTCCCCTCCTTTCTTCCACTTGGTAAAAGATGATACATTATCTTAAATGAAGAAGCAGCATAATTTTGTGGAAAGAATGTTAATTTAACAACCAGGAAACATCCCATTACTGACTTCAGTTAGCTATTTTTTGTACTTAACTAGGTGTTCAAACTATACTAATGAAATAGAACTGAATTATCAGTGTTGACCTCAGTTTTATCATAAAATAAAATAAGGAATTTACATTAAATATGTGGCTATATATTTCTACAGCTGGTATCAGTTTCTCTTTATGTTAGCCTGAGAAAAGTGAATAGCAATTTTTGGCTTCTGGAATGGTCACAGATCATGTTAGAAGAGATTCCCTTACCGTTCATTGAAAATGACTTTACAGAGAGTGTTTTCTCCAGGAACATTTTGTTTTGTACTCTTTTAATTATTCATTCAGTAAATCTTTATTGAGTACCTATAATATTCCAGAAACTGCCCTACATAACAGCCGTGAACAAAATACCAAATCCCTCCCCTCAAGGAGCTTAGAGTTTGGTGTGGGGATGCAGCAAAAGAAATGAGTCAAATGTAGGATATGTTAGATAGTGATAAGATCTAATGAGTGGGGAAGGTGGGGAGAAATCAGGGAAGGGAGAGAGAATATGAAATTGGAGGGTAGGGATAAAGCTAAAATTTTAAGCAGACCATCAAGAGAAAGCTTCACTGAAAAAGTAATTTCTGAGTAATGACTTACAGAAGGTAAGACCTATCATAGTGGGTTTTTCTTTTTCTTTTTCTTTCTTACGAGCAGTTTTCTTAGTAATTCATTGGTTGACAACACACCCCGATTGCTTGAACTTTATCATTTGTGAGCTCACTAGTGAAATTTTTGAAAAGATGGACAGTATTATATATTCCCCTTTTCGGGCTGGTATATTGTACAGAAAGGATTATAGGCATTGAATTTAAATGCTGCTTGTTTGCTACTAAACAGCAAAGCATGTAAGAAATATAATCTCCTGAGTCCGCTTGTTACAGTTTTTCTGTCAAGTGCTTTTTAACTTAATTCAAACATGTTTACATTTTTTTTTTTTTGGTAGAACTTTTAAAGACTCAAAGGATTTCAAATGAATTGCAGGACCCTAGAGCAATATGATCTGTCCATTTGGCAGACAAATTTTACCCACTAGTTTTTTAATCTGTTAGATAATCTGTTACACAAAGGTAATTACACAGAGGGTAACATGGCTGAGGACAAATTTGATTAATAGCATCTTATCAAATTTTTAAATATTCTAACATGATTTGAGTAAATCAAGTGTACCCATTGCTGAAGTATTAAAAATGAGAGAATGTATTTTTTTTAAATAGTGCTCTACAAAAATTAGCTTTAACATCTATCTTATTTGGGATGCATTTTTCTTTCTGTAATGCTAGTGAAACAATTTATATTTATGAATAAATAATTCCAAACAACTAAAACAAAAACTATGTTAGAATTACTTCAAATAAGGAGCAGTGATAAATTACAGGAATTACTGTGATTTTGTGTTTGTCTATTTACTTGTTCTATAACATTTTCTCAGAGCATGAAATGTAACTTTAAAATTTAAACATATGAACTTTTAAAAAATTTAGATGTATTAACTTTTTAAAATTTAAACGTATTTAAATTTCTATCATTATAGTAGATAGTCCGTGTACCAGTTTTGGATAAGTGACTTAAGTCTAAAGTTAATAGTCCCAACTGGACAGTCCATTGAAACTGTGTATCAGCATCAGAGAAAAAACTGAATTACAGGAATAAACCAAATTTTATTTAATAAACTTTAATCATAAAAATTTTTTTTTAATTGAATAGTGAAATTTTAAAGGAGTAACACTGCAGTAATGCTGAAAGCAGAGTCATTTCAACTGTTGGCACTAGAATAATGAGATATCCACATTTTAGAAAATGAACCTCAGTTTTTCCATTTGTAGTATGTAGTACCTTAAAACTACACACAAAATTGAATTCAAGAGGGACCATATTAACTTGTTGTAAAAGCTAAAACCATATATTTTTTAGAGAAAGTCATAAGGTAACTGTATGGTAATTTTAGGGTTGGGCAAAGGTTCCTTAAGCAATAATCATAAAATTTATTTTAATGATAAAACAGATTTCATAGAGATTAAAAATTTCTCATCAAAAAAACCTGTTAAGAAGATAGACATGTCATAGTTTCAGATAAAATATTTGCAAAACATGAGGAGGACTGGTGTTCAAGATATAAACTACGGAAAAAAAAAAAAAAAAGATAGAAAAAGAACAAAGATAAAGAAGTGGGCAAGAAATTTAAATAGATACTTCACAGTTGACCCTAAAGCAGACAATAAAATCCTCATCCTCTAGCAGTTTACTATGGTGAGCCTTCTTAAAATTTTCTTAAATTTCTTGTACTGAATTGAGATTCTTAGATCACTAGTTTTTTTATCTCAGGTCAGGTTAAAGAGTGACTAATTTTTCTGTCTTGAGAAAAGTAGTAGAAGTGCAGTTGCAATGCATTGTTGGATTTTACAATTTTTTTGACAGCTCTTTTGCAGAAGAATGTGTTGAAAGAAAAGAGTGTTCAATTCTTAAAAGTT